AATTTTACTATGCTTGCACTCTGAAGGTGCCGCTCGTTTCCGGTATGTTGCGTCCATTTAACTTAATGTGCTCTGGTCCAAACGGGAGTCACTTCCATGGTGGTGAGATTGCAGTTTGTTCTGCGCATGCCCGAGATGACAGAGGGATGAGGTCGCTGTCAGAGTGCTCCAGATGAAAGTTTGACGGCTTTCCAATGTAATGTGGAGTTGCTTTATGTTTACAATTGTTAATATTTGTGCTGAATGTTGTAATTGAGAAAAACCCCTGACAAGCACTCTGAGTCAGACAGAGTCTGACTCAGAGTGCTGAGATTTTAAATGTTTGTACAAGGACAGAAACATATTCAACAATAAAAGCATTCCTAAAGCGATAATGTCCCCCTAAATTTTACTTTATATTTTTAAAACAGTCATATTCATTCTATATTATAAGTACAGTTATAAGCTACTTGTACTTTTTTCCTTGTTTACAGTTTAAAATTAAGATTTGAAAGACTAAATGTCATTTTGCAACTTTTACTTGTTTTCCCATCTGGAGTTTCCCTAAATGTTTTGAAAACCCCTGATTTTTTTTTTTTCCAAATTCCAGAGTGATTTAAATTTGCTCAAATGGCAAGATGGCGGACTCTCACTGCAACGCACGAACAAGGTAAGGAGCCGGAGGGGGGGGCTACCGGGCAACCGCGCTACCGGGCAACCGGGCTACAGGGGCCGGAGGGGGGGCTACCGGGCTACTGCGTCCTAGGGCTCCCGCGATACCGGGGTTCGGTGCGGGTCTACTCTGACAGTGATATCGAACCGGGGTCGGGGGTCCGGGTCTCCCCTCTGGGGAGCCCCGGCCCCCCTCCCCCGGTGGCCGTTTTCCCCGATATTCCCCGGTTTTCCCGGTATTCCCGGTTTTCCGTTTTTCGTCTTTTACCGCGGTATCGCGGTAGCCCGCCCACTTCCTTGTTTTTGTCACATGACTAAAAACAAGTCACATGACTAAAAACAAACCAATGAGAATCTAAACTAAAGCAGATTCAACCAAATATCTTAAAGATTTAGGGGGGAGGGGGGCGGCGGCACGGAGCTACCGGGATAGCGGGATACCGGGCTACCGGTGCCGGGGTCCGGTAGGGGGCTACCGGTAGGGGATGCCGAGTGCCCACGTACGTAATAATCTGAGAAAAATGATTCTTTTCCAAGGTTTTCAACTTGCACAGCCACAGAGACTGCAAAGCTGTGTATATATATTTATGGGACGTGCGGTCATCCTCACAAGACAAAACATACGATGACATATTATAGTGGCGATTGTTTGTCAAACCAAACATCCAAAAAAAAAGTTCCTCAAGCCACTAAGAGGCACTGGGGTCCAGTTTCTGTACGCAGGGAAAAGATTTCAAATCCAAACTTGTTGATTATTCTTGAAGGTTTATTGGTTCTTTCTGGCAACAATTTCAGAGTTCAAACTTTCATTTGTTCTCATTCTGTTCTCTTGCTCTCTCTTGCTCTGTCTCTTGCTCTGATCTCTTGCCCTGGTAAAAACCATAGGCCCCAAACCCATATGCCTGCTGGTCCTTTACCAGGCCCCTATATTTATAGGCAAGTGGACTGACCCACATGACCCATTTCCTGCTTATCTCAAATAATGAATAAGAAAAATAATAAGACAAGAAATTAAATAGAATCAACAATTATTAACCTGCAAAATAAATAATGTAAATTAATACAAAAAATATACATTTAAGAATTAACTAACAAAAATTCAAATGCATAAAGAAAAAGAATAAATAGCTCCAACACATATTATTATTTGTCCGCCGATCTTTATGTATGACTAATTGCGATCATTTTAATTGTCAAAATCGCTGAAATTGCACATTTTCTGTTGAAATACGGGCTGAAACGTGATGTGCGGCAGCAAGGAGCCGAGCTGAACCTCTGATTGCGCAATCCATCCCAAACTGGGCAGTTGGTGTCTGTCGGCGTATCGCTGCATGTCGCCAATATAATGTTTGCATATACGTTTCTATAGCCTGATTTTTCAGTCTGGCTAATGTCTCAACGCGGCGTCTACGTGTAGATGTTTATGACATTACAGGATCTAAATCACTGTATTTTGTGTTACCTTTAAATATGTCCGACTTGAAAATACAACTGTTGAAGGCAGTACGAAGCAACCAACCACCGTGCAGCACTACGTTACACAAAAAGCATTTTGTGCCTAACTTACTTCCATTGAATGCAGCGTTTTATTATAATAATAATCACACACAGTATATGTAATTTTAAATTCGCTGATTTTTATTTGAAATAATCTGAAAGGGTATATCTTTTGTAGGATTAATTGTTTAGCTGATGTTTCAGGATAAGGGGACCTAAATAGCAACTGCACTCAGGGAACTGGCATTTGTAAGCATGCACAGATGACCGTCCATAGCCACAGCTTTTAAACACAACAGTGCAACGTGTTTTTAACATATCAAACAGAATACTATCCTATGGAAAAGAGAAAATAACAAGGCAATAGGATCTTGCTAAAAAAAAAAAAACACTTCAAACGGTTGCTTTCTATGCATCTCTTTGCCATCTCATTGATAAATTGGAAATAGATTCTTTTGAAATGATTTTTTAAAAGATTTCAGATTAAAAAAAGAGATCAACTGGGTTTAGCTCTAGTTAAAATACCATTTAATGTGCCATAAGCGGTGAGCCAGACTGAAACCTTTACACTGTAGCTTCAGTAGACAAAGCCTCCTGTCTGCCCTGATATATCAGAGAGATTTAACATCGGAACAAAAGCTTAATAAATAAAAACGATACTCCTTACATAACAGAAACAACAGCTATATCTCATAGAAATACACTCAATTTAATAAATCGTAAGATAAAACAGACACTAGTATGATTACTAATATATTTTGTAGCAATGTTGAAGAACCAGATAAATTCTGCTTTTAAAATTTGTTAAAAAATTTGACAGAGCCTGAGATTAATGCATGGCCCGTTTGACATTATTTACACATCTCTTTCTGAAGTGAGTGCTAAAATGATGAGGTCAGATTCTTCTTCCTCAGTCAGCTTTAAGACTCTCCCGTTCCAGTTCCAGTTTCCCCTCGTTTGAACTGCAATCACATGAAAAAAAAACGTATTTACAGACCCCGCCACTCAGATTGTCTTCTTTTTGAGCAGATAAAATGGGACATTAGCCAGTGGCGGTCAAGACTTACCGCGTTTTTCAGTAGGTTTCCTGATTTGGTGAAGATGTTTGGCCTCCTTGGGGTCGTTCTGCTGGACTCTGTGGTGCTCTGTTGGGATGTTTGGGGCTGAGCGGCCGGTTTGGACTGAGGAAGGCTGGATGGGAGTGACGAGGGCGGGGGCATTGAATAAGCCTGAGAATGGTTGTAACTCTGGGAAGAGGAGCCTGGGGTGTAGGGCTGAGGCGGCATGTAAAGCTGAGGTGGGACGTAGGCCTGGGGGGGGGTGAAGGTTTGGGGAGGGGTGTATGTCTGCGTGGGCGTGTAGGACTGAGGCAGCGAAAAAGCCGGCGCGAAGGGATTGGTTTGCGCGAGGCTCTGGGTGTGGACGTAGGGCTGCGTCTGGGAGAAGGACGGGGGGATCGGGGTGGAGTCCAGCAGAGTGGGCGGGGGGGGAGGCGGGAAGCTCTCGGCTCCATCGTCCGGTTCGGGGCCGTTCTCGGGGCCCCGGATGTCGTAGTGGCGCTTCCTCAGCTCCCCCAGACGGACCCGCTCCTGCTCCAGCTGACTCTCCAGCTGCAGAACCTTCACCTGGAAGATTCAGACCGGGAGGCTTACACCCGCCTCAGCCAGTGCCCGGGACACCTTCGGTTTTTTTTAACAACTGCTGGAGGGTAGAAATGAAACATGAAGGGTTCATTCAGCTTCCATTTCCTCCTTTTTGAGCTTGATCAGAGACATGCCGGAGAAATCCATCACACCTGCAAAGTATAACAAACAATTTTTCAGTATTTACACATTAACCCTTTAAAGCCTGATCCAAGAATAAAACAAAACAGAAAATTACATTTTTTGGGGTTTGAATTCCTTATTTGGCCTTTTAACAAAATATGTAAAAAGAAAAAACAGAAATACATTTTTGATATTAATAATTTATTACTATGCGATAAGTCAAGATGATTTTTTGTGTAGTCTTCTGCCCCCTGTTATCAGGTATATCTGATTGTGTACAACAGGATTTTGAGCAAAGTTTTTACCATTGAATTATGCAAAAGGTGTCGGACGCAAAACATTTCAGAAATCGTATGTATCAAATATGATACGTTTGGCATTATAGGGTTAACATTGAATTCAGTGGCTATCGGTAGTTTAAAAGGGGCATAATCCAGTTATTCACTGAAGTATGCAAAATATACAGCTTTTCTTTGTGATCGTTAGGGATGTCTCAGTGGCCCTGAATCATCCCATAGTTATGCTACTATGGGCCCAGACTCCAGGGGGATGACCTGGTTCTGCTTCAGCCGGTGGCGGATACCTCGTGCACACTCAGGATGGAGGATTGCTTTGAAAAGGCTTCAGGCTCTTTGTGAATTCAGCTCATTGAACGTAATGATCTGGAATGATCTGGATCATGATTGGATCATGATTGATTCATCTTTTGCTCTTAAGCGAAAAGTCAAACAGAGTAAGTGTCTCTGTTCAACCATCAGCCTTAAAATCTTTTGAATATAACAATAAATAAGCCAGCGAGATAACAAATGATTGAACCAAATCCGTTCTTGTTTTTGGACTTGTTTTGATGACTTATATTCGAGTTGCTGATCCTCTGAAGTGTTCCTGGACGGGATGCTGCTCTCACCGTGGTCAGAGATCTGCTGCTGGCCGTGTTTGGTGGAGGTGACGACCACGGCGGCCATGTCGTTGACGTGGCGTGAGGCCTGCTGCAGCGTGTGCAGCTTCCTGTTGTTCCGGTCGGCTTTCACCTGAAATGGCAGCAGCAGCAGCCCGTCACTGTTGTGTTTCCTCCCCCTCTGATGCCTTTGTTTGGATGCCCGAGTGATTGAAGAAATGTTTCTGAAACTCTTCCGACAAACTGTTTTTATAACTAAAATCACTTCCTGCTTAGAATATATTGCCTATAAGAGGCTTAAAGATGTATACCAATGCCACATGATGCATTAATGAAGAAAGCCTGTTATGTTTATGGCATTTGATGACCAACAAAGTGTTTTTCGATACTTGAAATATGCACGTTTTCCTAATAAAAATAAACAGAGCGAGAACCTGTGATGCATTTCTATATCTAAGTGTCTAAATTGAAGGATGTTGCTAATTTTAGGAGGCTTAAAGTCGTGTTCGTACTTTGGAGGCTGCGACCAGCTGGGCGGTGCTCGCGGCGATCTCATGCGAACAGGCGATGAGCTCCTCGTAAGTCCCCTGATCCCCCACCACCCGGTCCGCCGAGTCCCTGAGAGCAGCAACAGGGAAACAAAAGAGAGTTCCCTCGTAAAACGCTGAGGTCTTTTGTGGGAGTCTGCTGTGGCCGTCTCAGACTCACAGCAGCTGCGTGGCTCCCCAGCCCACGGCTTTGGAGGCAGAGATGAGTCTTTCTGTCCAGCGAGAGTTTTTGGCGTAAAACTCTCGAACCGACGCAGCTCCCTGCAGGAAGGAAAGGCCCCATGAGTTTCCACAGAAGCCTGTCGGGTTCACCAAATCAGG